ACACATCCCTCTCCCACCCGGGAACTCTGTGTTGAGAGGAGGTGCCCAAACCTCATCCAAGCCAGCAGTACCTGGCATCTTGCAGTTCCCGGGAGAGATGCACCGCTCCGGGTTATTTCTTCGTTCCCATCTGTTCTGCACTGCCTGGGGTGGGTGAATGAGAAACCAGCCCATGGGCTGAGAAAATCACCGTAGCGGAAGAGCTTCCCCCAGCCCTGCAACGAGCAGGCTCTGGGAAATCCGCAGGGAACAAGGTGCTGAGCTACCTCCCGCACCAGGAGCAGCACAAGGCGGGTTTTGCCGGGGATAGAAAGCAGAGCTGCCCGCGGAGCTGGGGCGAAGCCGTGCCCGCAGGCAGGGCTGACTGCCCCTGACACCCTCCCACCCCTTCCAGGCACTGTAAGATCCCTCTGGATTACAAAGCGGCACCGGATGGGACACCTGCTGCAGCTCCGGGTTCCCTGTCCCCGCTCCCTGATGTTCCCAGGGGAGCACGCACTTTCTTTATATCCTAAATCCACCTGGTTTCGATTTCCAACCCTTGAATCCTGTAAGACTTCAAAGGGGGATGGGGCTACATCCTGCGGGCTTTGCAGCCTCCCCTTGGCCATGGGGCCCTGCCCGTGGGCTCATGATGCACAAAATCCTGTTTCAGCCTAAATTTTGCCCCCTCGCCGGTCACATCTCTGCTGCCTCAGTTTCCCTCGCAGGGCAGGAAAGCCGTACTGGTAGCACTGGGGCAGGCGAGGACCAGGCGCTGCAGTGGTGGGATGCGAACCGGGATGCGGCGCGTCTCGTGGCCGTTTCTCTGTTTGCACAGTGAGATCTGTGACGGGATCTGGGAATTCTCTGTTTTAAGGTGTGGGATGGGTGGTCCCGTCACTGCTGTGCCACAGGCAGAAATACAGATTAAATCAGCTCCCTGCCCGGGACAGAGCCATCGGGGAGCGCCCGTGCTGCTCCCCGGCGCTCGGAGGGAGCCCAGGGCCCTTTCAGGGCTGGGTTTGCACCGGGTATGGGAATCCGCGGGTACGGGGATTTAATTCACCCAGGTCTGAACGCGGGGAGGGAGAGCTGTACAAATAGAAAGGGTGTTTTTACGGGCTGCGTTGTTCGAGGCAGGGGCAGGCTGGGAGCACAACACACCCCCGGCGCGGCTCGACCCCACAGCCACCCTCGCGGGCTCTGGGAGCCTGGCAAGCGCTGCCCTGGCATCGGGGTGCCTGGGAGGTGCTCACGGAGGAGCCAGGGCCCGTCTCTGCTCCAGGCTCCCCAAGGACGCCGGGCCCTGGGCTGGTCTCCAGCGCCACGGAGATGGATGCGTCCATCAGCCTCGCGGCCCATGTCCCTTGCCCAGGCGGGAGGGGAAGGAGCGGGTGCTGCTCTCACTCCATCCTCCTCCCAGCTGAGGTCTCACCGCACCCCGCTGCTCCTCGCTGTGCTGGGCAGGGGTTTTCCCAGGACCACGTGAGAAGACAACCACGGGAGGCAAAGCAAACCGACGCTGAGGCACGCTTGCATGAAGCCCACAGTGACCAGTGGGCAGGTAGGGGTGAAGCAGGATGGATCAGAGCAAGGCGGTGATGGGCCACATCCTTCCCGACTGGGAGGAACACGGGACCCCCCTGCCCGCAGCAGGCACTGCCAGCTCCTGGGGTCCATCGCCTCCCCAGCAGGAGCCGAGGATCCCAAGCTTGGTATGGCAGAGGGGTGAGCAGCCCCGGCCCTCAACCCTCCAGAGCTTGGGCACCCCAGAGCCCCCTTTGCTCGCAGCTCCAGCAGCCCTGCCCCAGCCCCAGCTCCTCTCTTCCCCTCCACAGCCACCCTTGCTGCACTGGCTGGAGCACCAGGCCATGATCAACCTGCTTTCGGCCGGAGAGGGGACGTGGGAGCAATGTTCCAGGCTCCTGAGCTCACACTACAGCCCAGGCACAGAATATCGCTGCAGAGAACATTATCAGCCCCACCGAGTAAAGGAAAACCCCAACACTCACAATGACCATCTCCATGCTTCCTGGTGCACCCGGCTGCAGCGG